AAAAAAAAAAAAAAAAAAAAAGCTACTTGAGTACAAATCTAGCCAATAGGCTTTCTCTCTGGCAGCTTCTTGAATATGAATACACACCAAAGATGTTTTAAAAGATTAGAACTTCAAATTCAGGAAAAGGAGAAAATGGTTTCCAGGGGTTTTAGAGCCATGACTCACAAACACGGAAGTTTCAAGTATAAAAATCTAACTTAGATTTTTCAGAGTTTAAATGTGTTATTCATGGAATTAAAGGTATAACATGTTTCCTAGAATCTTTCTAAACAAAATCCCTAGTCCAAGAAATGCATTAATAGTTTCAAGAATCTCAACGTCTGCCTGCACAGATCCTGGGGCTTTTCGATATAAGCGCACTTTGTCTATGACACATCTCCCAGTGGGAAATAGTTTCTGTGGAAGTATGACCACTGAGTTCTCACTCCGGTGTTCCTGGGTGGTGCAGAAAAGACCAGGACAGCTACTAGACGATATGGTTATACCCAGAAGACGGAATGGACAGGCTTTCCAACAGTTACTGGTTTGGTTGGCAGTAAACATGGTGTTCAGTAGCTATTTCCACATTATGAGTTAAGATTTGCCATGGGACTGCCAATGGCTGCGAAGGCAACATATGAAACCCAGTGAAGGCTAAGGGGTGCACAAGGTTAGCATATTTTTCTTATATTTAAGAACACCGACATTTAAACCGAGTGCTAGTATTGGTAACCCGAGTGTTGGATTGGGTGTACAGATGTGCTTTGTCAGGCTTGCAGCGTTTTGTTTTGTGAGTCATATCAACATTTAAAAATCTGGACGTTTTTATTTATTTATTTATTTTTTAAAATTGGATTTAATTTTGTTCTTGACAATGGGAAGATTTTGACCCTGTTAACACATGACAACAATGGGCTGGAGTTAATTAGTCTACACTTTGCAGGCCCCAATAGCCTGCTCGTTTCTTTTCTGTCTACATTATTCTGCAGTTGGATCATTCTTTGCTTATCGTCACATTTATCCCTGTTACTTCTGGTGAAGAGAAATATTTCTCTGTATCCATGACTCTATTGAAACAAGAGAACAAATAGTGGACTGAAAAGGCAACTTCATGTATGTATGCCATCTGCTTGGCCACTGGAGGTTTTTAGGATGGCATTTCCATTCTGAAAGAATGAAGCCTGATTCTGTGCACTCCCTTGGCAACACTTTCTCCAGTGACATCTCCTAGCATATAGGGATCCTCCAGGGTCTGTGCAATCTGCAAAAGTTCCACCTGCCCCATTTTCACTGGGTCATTTCTCTCTCTCCTTTTGGTTTAGAATCACTGTACCCAAAACCATGAAAGAAATTCTTATGGAATCAGTCATTCATGCCAATTGATCATAAGTATCTAAATTACTGTGTAGCATAGAAATGACTTCTTTGAGACTAATAACTTAAGAAGAGCTTTGGCAAACTGAATTATGCCCTTTACTGCCTTGTCTTAACCCAGTCGTGGATAAGAGCTAGGACTCTCTCGATGGTCCTGTGTAGCAGCATTTTCCATTGGCAATTAGGTTACATTTTAAAAGTTCATTTTATGTTGGTTTTCTCTTTAACAACAATCAATGTTGATAGTTTCACCAAAGGTTAACTAAAAATTTGTTTAAATCATGCAAAGCAATTGCGTCACACTATATATATATATATATA